CAAGTCTTTATTCCAGTACCACTTTCTTAGTGAAGACTTCCCTGGCCATCTGATCTGACAAAGTAGACCATCTCCTTCTCCACGTCCCCCTTCTCCCTCTCCTACTCTATTTTTCTCCTTAATACTTATCACTACTGAAATACAATGTATTTTATTTATCGTGTTTATTGTCTGCTTCCTCCGCCACAATGTAAACGCCATGAAGGCATTTTGTTTCATTTATATTCACTCCAGTGACTAAATTTACTGGCTGATCCATGGAAGGTGCTCAATAAATAATTGTTGAATGAATGCGTTAAAAAATTCAGTTATATTTTTCAAATCACACTTTTTCTACAAAAGCAAAAAGTCCTGGGGAGAGGAAGACAGAAACAAATTTTTCTAGCCTAATTAGGCTAGTTTGGTACAGGTGAATGTCTCCCAAGACTAGCAGATCAGAACTTATTTACTTAGTCCTCATTTATACAGTTTCTTTGGTAAGAGCAGAAAGAAGATGTTAGAAGGGATGAGGATTTACCTTCAAGTAAGAGGAGCTTAATGAGACTAGTAGCATAATTAAGAACAAGCACAACCTGAGACCTTGATGGGATCTATTTAAAACTATAATTAGATTGTGAGAATTGTTTTTCCCAGTGTAGGCTTTCCTGGAAGGCAGTTACTATATATATGAATTCCTGTCGAAGATACTACAAAAGAAGTTTGGCCTTTTGTGGAATATTGACTTAGAAGATCTCTGAGGTCTTTTCTGTCTGCACAAATTAGAAATCAACGACAGAGTAGGAAGCTGCTGTGTGAGATATGCAAGACTAGTTGCTTGAGGAAAAATCCCTAACCACATTTCATGTGTTCTCAATCTCGTGAACTCCTGGTGAGCTTTAGCAGGTGAGAAGGTTATTGTTGGTTGGTTGGTTTTGTGTTTTAACAGAAGCTGGCCAAGACCTTGCAAACTGAACCAAAATTTTATTATTATTACCTATTCTCTGTCTAATCCATTTTCACCTGTCTGTGATTTTGGTTGAAAGAAATATATACTACAAGCAAATTTCACTTTGATATTTTCCATTTTAAATTTATAAGGACATTCTTTACTACTCCTCTAGTAAATCAGAAAACTGAATAAATATGGTGTAATAAATAGTTGGGGACTTGGTTTGCAGTTTTAAACTCATAAGTCGTCTTTATCAGCAGACTATCAGGGAATAGAAATTGTTCTCTACTTCTTTTATTGCATCATCTTTTTTATTATGTCACAATTTTAGGTTAACCTTAGGAAACATTAAATCATAAAGCTTTGTAGTTACAAATCCCTCACATATACATTCTCTCAAGTAATCTTCAGGCTTTCTCATGAGTTTATGGCTCTAATCATACTATTTATTGATATTTCCACATATATTATTTTTTAAAATAATGACAAAAACCATATGAGGTAGGAATTCTTATCATCATGACAAAAATCCTGGAGCCCAGAGATTTGAAGTAACTAGTCACATTTATACCTTTTATGTATTTATTTATTTATTTGTCAGGAAGATCAGCCCTGAGCTAATATCCATACCAATCCTCCTCTTTTTGCTGAGGAAGATGGGCCCTGAGCTAACATCTATTGCCAATCCTCCTCCTTTTTTTGCCCTTTTTCTCCCCAAAGCCCCAGTAGATAGTTGTGTGTCATAGTTGCACATCCTGCTAGTTGCTGTATGTGGGATGCTGCCTCAGCACGGCCCGATAAGCGATGCGTTGGTGCGCACCCGGGGTTCCGAACCCCGGCCGCCAGTAGCGGAGCACACGCACTTAACCGCTAAGCCCTGGGGCCGGCTCCCTACACTTTTTATTTTAAAAAATGAACTGGATTCAAATCCATGTTGATGTGCCTGCAAAGCCCAGGCTTTTAATTCCCACACAGTGATCATTTTACAGATGAGCAAGGTGAGTCTTAGAGAAGCCAAGTGACTTGCCCAAAGTTATACAGCTTAGAACTGGAAGAACCAGGAAAGAAAGCCAGATAGTTTGTCTCTAAGACCAAAGTTCTTTCCATTCTTCATAACAGATTTTTTAAAAAAATGTATGACATTTAACAACAGCATAAGAAACCCTAACCTAGTTGAAAGATGATGGAATGGCTACATATTTAAAGAAAAAGAAACAGCAAAGCCTAAAGAACTATGAACTAAATTTCTCAGCACAGTCTACAAAATTATCAATAGCCTAGTCTAAAACACGTTTATATTCTAGAATCTCAGATTAGAATTTTCTGTGTGGATATTTACAATTTATTTTTACATATACACAAATGTCAAATTAAATTCCCTATGGTTAAAAGACATAAAGGTAAAAAATAAAAGAATAAAAAAACCAGGAAATGTAGGAAACTGTATGTACATACTTGGAAAAGGAGAGATTTTCTTAAACAATACTGAAGACATTAGAAGAAATACATGCATATCTTAACACACATACAACTACTTAAAGCTTCTATGTGTCAATCGATATCCTATATCTTTATGATTTAATATATTATTTTGGAAATACCAGGATGTAAGAGGTGTACCCAGTTTGTATTAATACAAAGATTGTCAGGGATATGGGTTGTGTGTGTTTATAAGAACATAAGAATAAAACAAGGTCTTGCTTACATGGATCCACTTGACTAGATATCTCAGAAAGTTAAAAGTCTCTTATGGTCTCACTATTTCCACGGTTTGCATACTCTTACCCAATCCCCACACATCCGCTGTAGTGATCTCCTCGAAAGGTAAAAATGAATCATGACATTCCCCTATTTCAGTAACATTTTTTGTCACTCAAATAAACTCCAAATTCCTAACGAAGGGCAGCAAGATCCTACATAATCTATCCCCTGCCTACTAACCTTATTCCATGTTCTCTCATTCAACACACTCCAGTTCATGTTGATTTTAAATCGGTTGCCTGAATGTACCTTCAGGCCTGTGCTTATGCTATGCCTTTTCTAGAAGCCTCGCCTCCCTCTCGTCAACAAGACCAGCCCCTGATTGGGCAGATCATAGCTAATATTTTATCTCCTCGGGCAATGGTACCTGATCACTGTTCCTCAAGTAGACTTCCTCTTTAATTTCTACAATAGCACCCTATTTGTTTTATTCATAGCATTTATCACAATTTAAATCATTTTGTTTGATCATCATGTGTTTCAGTTTTCTTTTTTCTCTCTCTCACCAGACTCTATATTTCTTGAATCCAGTGATCATTTCTCTGTGGTTGAGTTTATCCCCAGTTCCTAGATCAGTGCCTGGTACATAATTGGTACTTAACAAATATTGGGTAAATAAGTGAATAAATATTAAATGAGTGAATACATGTGTTTTTTAAAAATATTTTATTGATAATCTGCATATCTGCTTGGAGAAAAGAAAGTGAATTTTCTCTGGAATGATATCTTTTTAACAGTAGACAATATGAAGGAAAGTAGCTCTTCCAAAAACCATTCAGTATACTTATTCTGAGATTTAAATTCATTCACATCCTATGAGTACCTAACAAATCCTAAAATGTCTAGCCTCCCTTCTCCCCTAGACAACATATAGGTCCATTCACCCACCACTCTCACTCGCCCTCCCTGTCCCACCAGTAATTGGAGGATACTGTGTTAAATTTCCAGGAGCCAATGGGCCTCTGGACAAAAACAAGAAAGAAATATTTTAGGATCGATACGTGGGCCCTGGGAAACTGGGATTAATATAAGGGTGAAGGAGTTAGCGGCCATTGCTAACTTTTCACGGACATTCACTTCCTTAGAGGCATCATTAGTACTTGGAAAAAGGGTTTATGTCAGCATCATCAGTTTTCAAAATAATAATATTAATGTAGTGACTGCAAAATTACTAGGCTGACTCTAGGGAACCAGAGCAATAGCAGCAGCAGATAAAGGACATCATGTGAAAAGGCACAGAATAATGCTAGAACCTGTGGCAGAATAATTTTTATAGCCATCAAAACATTCTCCAACACGGTATTATTGAGTTTGTCTTTTGAACAAGGAACTCTGACTTGGGGTCCAAATTATTCTTCTGTGGAAGGTTACAAAGAAAAAGTGAATACCACCATTGCTGCTGTAATTGACATTCATTCATTCATTCCACGATTATTTACTGAATGTCAACCACTGTGATTTTCACTGTACTAACCACTGGAGATAATTTTAAGCAAAAATCATTCAATTTTCTCATGGAGGTTGATAGCGCCTGAATTCATTCATTCATTCCATGATTATTTACTGAATGTCAACCACTGTGATTTTCACTGTACTAACCACTGGAGATAATTTTAAGCAAAAATCATTCAATTTTCTCATGGAGGTTGATAGCGCCTGAGGAAGAAAGAATTACTTCTATACATGTTTATAAACCACAGCCCAGAATAAAAACTAGCTTCATGTTTTCCATACAAAGAGCTGCTTTCTAAGCCTTTTTTGGGAAAAGTAACTTTTAAGCGATGGTTATATAAAAATAAGATATAAACACAGATTTTCACTTTTGGAAATAGAACCAGACATTTGTAGGAACCTTATTTGTTGACAAGATTGAGTCTTACTCACAGCTTCACATAATCACAAGTACAGATAAGGTTTTCATCTAAAAACAAACGCGGCATAGAAAATACCCTGAGTCATTTGAAAGAACTGGATAACTTGTATGATGTTTGGAATGGGATTTGCAAAAACCTTTTCAGTTTCCATTTGTACATATCCCTGACCCTGTTCTGAACAAAATACCAGCTCATGTTTTCTAGCTTTGGAAATCCATTGGAAACAGGTCCATTAGACACACCACAGAGGGCTTTGAATTCTCTCTACTGGTGCACTGAGTCACCTCGAAATCTTTAAATCAATAGAAGGTATGATTTAACTGAAAACTCTATGTCAAAGTTAAAATAAAAACAAAAGAAATAAACCAATCTCAACTTAGCAATTTCAATATGGGTGACAAAATGGTAGACTATGAATGAAGAACTATGGCCAGTACCTTTTGAATGCCTGCTTGGGACTCCAGAACATTATTCTCTGATCCATTGCTTCGGTTGATCATCCGCCACATTTGGGAATACATGCTGTCCCTCTCAAAAGGGTTCATTCCCTTCATGCGGACATGCTCATATACCGCAGAGTCCAAGACCGTGCCGTAAGGGATGTCCGTTTGCTTGGAAAGGTCCTGGAGAGACCTTGATTATTGGGAGAGAAGAGAAACACAAGAGAGAGTACTGAATCTTTTCAAGTGGAAATAAAGTTAAAGGAAGCAAAGGGAAATATATGTGAAGACAGATAATGTCAAATGGCTTTTATTATTTTCTTGTTTCTTAATATTAAGACATAATATATACGAAGAATTGCTGTTATATAAAAGCCATTTGAAATTATCTGTCTTCAGGCAGATTGACATACATTATCCTCACAGCAATGCCTCATGTTCAGAACTATTTCACCCATTTTACAGATGAGGAAAATTAAGTTGAGAGAATAAGTGACTTGCTCAAAGTGGCATAGTCAGTGAGAGATAGAGATAGGATTCAGATGTAGATCTGCTGGCTCCCAAGGCCATATTGTTTCTACTGCAAGATGCTAACTCTTATTTCTGTATTTCCTTTGCTACATTTGTTTTAGGTGTGTGTGTATGTGTGTGTGCGTGTGTGTGTGTGGCTTCTATTTGAATTCAAATAGAATAAATGTTATGCTTCTAGAAAGCTATATATGTTTTTGGCCTTCTCTTTTACAGAGTAACGCTCCAGGATTTTCAAACCAAACTTTGAGTTACAGATGGTATCTACTTGTCCCCAGTTATCTATCTCTGGACTGGTGGTTGATTTCCTTCATTTCAGTATCTAAGCCACTGTATACTTTCTAACTTGGAGAACTAATTATTACCCCACTGGAACTCATTGAATTTGTGTAGGCGCCCAACTCTAATGACTGACATTTAAGAACAAATATGTGTCTTTGGCATATTGTTCAAAATTAAATGATGTCATGCTTCAAACTCACTAACCTCTGCAAATGGGAGCAGATGCTTTGAAACACTATACCATATTTTGAACAAGAATAAATGCCCACAGCCCTCAACAACCGTGGGCCATGAGTCTCATGTGATGTATACCTCTGACCTTTTGGTGTGTATTTAGATGGAGTTTGCTAATAATTTCCTGGGAGTCTTTGCAACCAACATTAGTATTGGGGAAGGGTATTGGGAATACTCTTGCAGGTCACCAGTTTCTATCATGTGTAAACTTGTGTTGCAAACAATAAATTATGGGCTGTGTTTGTTAGAGAAGTATTTGTGCCAATTTCTAATGGTAACTTTCAGCAAAATTTAATTTGCATTTTATTGAGTTTTATATTGTTGTTCCATTTACGCTATGGAAACTACCGTGATAATTCCTTTTTGTTATACATTTCTGCTGCATAAAATGATGCGTTTAAAAAGGATTATTTGAAGAGAAGAATTTTCTGGAATCTTCCATGACTATTGAACTAATTCTACCATTTATTTGCAAAAGATAAGGTAAAGTGACAGTATAAATGAAAATTGAAGGCAAAAGCAGGAATAAAACTGAGCTACAAGTAGCTAGCATGTAACTTAATACCAGAGTGACAGGGCATTTGCTCCTGGGACATACCATAATTATCTTGGAAATAATATAACAATAAGAATTTTATTTTGAAAGAGCAATTTACTTCTCATTTACTGCTGTTTCCAGTAATAGGAGTAAAACTATATTCAAAGTATTAACATTCTAACATATTTCCAACTGTTTAGTGGAGGATGTTCTTCAATGGTAACACAGGAGAAAGAAATGAAATATCTCCATACAGGTTGTAATAGCAGGCCTCATTCCTTCAATTTCTATGAATACAAGGGCCAAGGCTAGGTAGAAGTACAGATCTTGCACTATCTACAGCCTGAAGATTTATGGCTGGAGAAGGCCATGTTAGGGTCTATCAGAAACCATCTGGGGTAGGATTGGCCACTTGCTGCTTAGTAGCCCCAGCAATTAATCTTGGCTATAACTATCAGAAGGCTTCAATTTGGTGGCAGTGAGAACATAGTCTAGCAGTGAAATTTTTTTGTGCCTATGTCTAAATATGTAACTGGTTTGCCCAAATAGTCATACTAGTAAAATACTGTTAAATAAATTAATGTTACCTCTTAGCTTTCTATGAAAAGAAAATTGAAATCAAATGTTTGGATCTCTAATATAATCAGATTTCTGTGATATAGCATTGCCATACATATTAGTTTTACAACTGAACATAGAATTATGATACAAACAGTTTAATTGGTGAAATTGTTTTGTACACAATAAATTTTATAAAGAAATATCTTAATATATTGCCTGTGTGATGTTCCTGATGCCCAAAAAAGGCAGTTTATTTTCAACATACTTCAAATTTAGAATAGCAGATTATTTTGCAACTTAGAACAAAGGCATGTTCCCTCTAGCTTCATTTCTGATATCAAGTTCAGCTTATAAATTTGCCTTGAGATATGCTTGCAATAAAAATTACAGCTTGTCTGATTCAGCGTCATTCCATTATAGTACACCAAGATAGCACCACAGGTGACAAAAACAAAATGAAGCAAAAGGAAGTGAGCACAAGTAGCTTATTATAGAGAGCGAAGACTGTTTTAGGAGCCCAACACAGATAAGGGAGTTCCTATTATAAGTGGTCATTTTGTTGTTTTCATGCTAATAAGATGTTAGAGCAAGATTAGCAGAAATGTTAATGTCTATATTATGAGCCCTTAAAGAAATCTAGTAGGTTATTCTACAAGTGGTAATCCTCAAAAAAATTGTATCTGAAGGTCAACATCTGAGTGGATATTATTTAGAAATGTCCAATCACAGTTTTAAAATGAAAACAATTCTAAAATAATTAATAAGTACCTAATATATAAATTAATCGACCATGGCAAATATTCTTTCTTTTTTAACAATTGGTAGTGTTTACCCAGACCACAGAAGGAAGGGGAAAACCTAAAACATTCCAGAACAGTGTGTACTGTGAATATACTCATACTAATATATTCCATTTCTCCACCTCACCACACAAATCCACATATAATCACATAGAACTCAGCAAATGATCACTCTGTGAATCTTAAACTTGAGCCCTCCTCTCCCAACCCCCTACTTCCACTCATGCACACAGAGTAAAAAATGAGTGTTAAGTGTCCACAGCTGTAAGTGGTGAATCATAAAATAAAGCAAATGCTTTGCTACTTGAATCAGCCTTATTTTCCCAACATCTTACTGAGGTTCTTTTATCCCTCGCACTGGTGTCCTATACCACCAGCAACCCATGGGAACTAAACAATACTGAGAGCTGATAGGTAAGTGATGTTTAGTTATTTGTATGAGCATTACATATACTGAGAAACTGTAATTTAGGGCACTTCTGTGAAAGTAAATTTTGGGAAGTTGGGTGAATCTAGGCTGATTGCTAATCCTCAGAAGAATAAACAAACTCTTCAAGCATTGAAAATTAATTTTGATGATATTAGATATATCTGATAGCAATAGCTTTGACATTGGGTGGGCTAGATTTTAAAGTCAAACAGATGTGTATTTGTGAGCTGTGTGATGTTAACCCCTGTTAGCCTTACTTTGCTCATCTATTAATGGAGAGAATAATAGTGCCCTCCTCAAAGAGTAAAGGTAAGAGGACTGTCACATCAGCATTCTATCAAGTTATTTATTGTTTTTATATGAAGATTACTAATGTAATGATTCCTCTCCTTATAATGCCCTACTTAATGATTTCTAATGGATTTTTGTAAGTGTGGCAGGATGACTTCTTATAAATATTGTTGAAGAGGAGATTCATGAAATGAAGTTGAATTAGCGTCTATTTTCTTTCCAAGTACAAGACCGTATGAATCTATGATACTAAATGGTCATAATTTTCTTAATAGCAAATTCTTTGGGACATTTATATGACTTTGTGTTAATGAAATTATGTTATAATGAATGTGTTGCGACTTACGTTTCTAAAATCGTCAACTAGTTAAAAATCTAATACCTATCGCCTCTTCAGTGAACTTTCACTCATATTTTTACCTATTTTCCTTTAACAAGAGAATAGATCTTACCCCTATAAATTTTAAAATAATTCTCATAAACTTCTCTTTTCCATTTCCATTTCATTCTTTCCTTGTTTCCTTCTTTCCTTCCTTCCTTCCTCCCCTCCCTCCTTCTTTCCTTTCTTTTTCAAACATTTGAGCTTGGTTGTGTGGAATGCTCACCAACAAATGAAAGAGACAGCTGCCAGCTCTAGCTCTGGGGGGATTGAAGTTTAATCCCATTTTTAATGGAATGGAACAAGTCAACTCCAGTTATCACATCAGAAGGGATTTTTCTTCAGGGGGAGAAAAGTGGATTGGTTGATAGGATAGGCACTGGATGCTTCAGGCAAAGGGGCTGACTGTGGAAGAGACAAACAAGGACGGTTATAGTAAAAGTGTCCTCCAACTCAGTGCAAGTTTTTTCTCCCATGCTCTCTCCTCAGTGTCTTCCGCTGGATGTTGATTTCAGCATCTGCCAAAGACAGATATTGCTGTAGCTCCAAGAGCCCATTAGCAACCACATAACAAGCTTGCTTGGTGCCCACTGCTGTTCTTTGGTTGCAGCTGCCTAGAGCTGTCGTGGGTAGAGTACAGAGGCAGGTTTTCCAGCATAAGTGCTCTAAAATTTAAAACTTAAAAGAATAACTAATATTCTATAATAGAGGGCCAGCAGAGTGAGAATCAGTGTCTCTGAGACCCAAGAAGCAGGAGATATTGTTGGAAAATGAATTGAGGTGGTCAGGTAAGACAGGCCTGCCACCGACAGGTACTGCCAACATCTGTGCATGGGCAGCTTCTTCAATCCTTGGACAAATTATTAAAACTTCTCCAAATTGCAATCCTTTTCCCTATTAAATAGAGGAAATAATAATTTTATAAGAAAGTATCTGGAAGTTTGAAGTAGATGCTGATATAAGACAGCTTAGTACTTAACACTCTACAAGTGCTCACTTGCTGGTACTTGCAATTATTAATTTTATTGCTACTATTGCTATTACTTTGTTCTCTATTACCATTTCTGGAATTGCCATCTTCTTATTTTTCCCACTAATTAGATTCATTCTCAGCTAACCCCTCTTCCTCAGCTATGGCCTTTCTAACTCT